GTATTCGCTCCGAGCCGATACAGAGGTTGCGCCCCCTCTAGCCAAAATCAGGCAACATTTCTTGCATGTAAACAAACGGTTTAGAACATATATACATACGTACAGCTGCTTGTAATTGGCACTTGGCAAGCTAGAGAGATAACGACGATCCTCTCCTGCTGTCTTATTCAGCCAATCACAAGCAGCTATACGCATGTATATATGTTCTAAACCGTTTGTTTACACGCAAGAAATTTTGCCTGATTTTGGCTACAGGGGGCGCAACCTCTGTATCGGCTCGGAGCGAATACACCAGCTCCTTTGCCAACCCATGCATCTCCCTCCTGTCATCCTTTCCAACTCTCCGAACAATCAGCCGAAATTACGACAATTTTTCCTATACCGTCAAGCATCGCATCCATCACCCCCGCGTTCTCCCTTCACAAAACATGGGGTCAAAGAGCCCCACCACCCATCCTCCACCCTCGTTATCCTCTCTTTTGCCCTTCACGTCGGTGCACACTCACAAATCGAGGGCCCTCACAAACAAGTAAAAAAAAAAAAAAATGAAAAAAAAGATCATTAAATAGTAAAATAAAAAATGAAACAAAACAAATAAAATAAAGGAAATTAAACAAAATGATACAAATTAAAAGAAACGTTAATACAGTACTCACAAAGTTCAACTATCGTGAGTACTGAACTAAATTTTCTTATTTTTTATTATTCGTTTTTCAAGTTTTTGTTTTAGTGAACTACATGAATGCAGTACTTATTTTTATAGAACTTCGTTCTTCCTATGAGTCTGGCGACCCCCTTGTTACCTAAAAAATTTTGTGTCCTTATACTCATCTCATGTTTCAAGAACTTCGTTATTACCGTGGGTTCCATGACCCATTTATACCCTCTGGTTTTTTTTTTTAATTGTATCATTTTGTTCAATTTCCTTTATTTTATTTTTTTTTCTTCATTTTTTATTTTTCTATTTTTTATACGCAGAAACGATTCAAAGTAGCCAATCTGTGACCATAGCGGAGAGAGAGATGCAAGACTAAAACAATATTTTTCCTCTCTCTACCAACCGTATGCGATAGTACCTTGTTCGCTCCCTCTATTATACTATCTCTATGGGTAGAATACCAGGAAACGTTTCTAGCCAGAGCACAATCTGCTCCAGCACTTTAGAGTTTTGTAGCCATTCAACCATCCGACCGGGTGCCATCGGAGAATTTTTTACTTCAAATGCGAGCCAGGGAAGACAGCCCTGAAGAGTACGGGCAACCATAGAGAGGGTATTCTACAGAAAGGGTATTCTCCAGGCCCAATTTCCTGACTAACGACGAGCGGTTCGTTATCCGGGGGACGATCCGAAGACGAAATATTCTTTGGTCAGCGGCGTACCTCCCTTCCTGTACGGTATCCGTACACACAGACTCAATACCCGCAGATGGCTCTTCATCATCAAGGATAATAATAAGGAATAGCTGCAAGTTTCACCACCGGCCCTTTTGAGGGCCATTATAAGTATTTACGTTCCCTACTTAACCATCAATCTCATCGGTCCTTTTAAGAGCCACCTAAGTTTAAATTACCTTACCAACTAATACATTTTTACTACAATTTCTGGAGACCGTTCGTCAACTCAAAGACTATGTTAAATTGGCCATTCTTAAACCAAGTCAGTCATTTACTGTCAAACGTCACGAGCAGAGTTGTTCGTCACAAGGCTGGGAACCCCAGTGACTGACGACCCTACATTACCCCCTCGACTTTAAGTATTCAACCAGGAATCACCGATCCTCTCCAAGGTCTGCGCTGGGAGAACCTAACAGCTACTAAGAAAAAATAATAGACGTAAGCCAACGGGACAGTTTCCAACGGACAAGCATCACGAACCAATCTTTCCACCTTAGATCACCAAAACAACTGAGTCTGAAAAAAAAAGAAGGTGCTTTAGACACCAGCGTCTTCGACGATATACCAGGAGACGTTGGGAAAGAGCTCTACAACTAGCTCCAAAGCTTCAAACGTTGTAGTTTTCTTCCCAATCAGTGTGGTGCAACAATAACAGGCCTGAGAAGATCACCCTGAGGTATAGAGGCAATCACCTTTTCTGGAAACTTCAGTCAAGAAAGTCTTTACTTAAGAAGCTCATCAGTCCTTTTTAGGTTTATCGGACGTCGAACTACCTTGCCAACAAATATATTACAACCTAATAAAGTTGAAAAAAATAGTCTTTAGGGCTCACAAGAGTCTCAACTATGCCAAAAGTTACAAGAAGTCGAATTAAAAGGAAAACTTTAAATGCATTTTATGAATCCAATTTTAGGCGTCAAGAAAATGACGAAAGAATTTATTAAGTGAGAGATCAGCTTTTCACTATAACGCTCATAGTAATCTCTTGAATCTTCCAGACTTTTAAATAGGTATAATATGTATTTCAATTTTTGTTGCGATAAATAACGTAGAGATTAAGCTCTAGGACTTAGTTGCTCTGGTAATAAAGTTGTGAGATAAGAGAAATAAATTTTTCACTGATAAATTTTTTGTGGGCTTTGAATCTTTAAAGCTTTAAAAAATAGCCCTGTTTATAGATTATACGGGAGAAACTGCAAATCAACAGCCTTTTAAGGCCAACGATTATTTTATGATACAAGGAATGCTTGGTACTTTTGGCATAATTATTTTTTTTTCTTTTTATAGCTTTTCACTTGACCAAATAAATTGTATACATTCTGAACATATATGTTTTCAATAAGATTTTTGTTCTGAGAAGTGTCAAACTATATGTAAAATTTTTAGCTGAAAACGTTTCACATTCCATGTCAACACACTACGTATTTCATTGAGTGTGTCTCGGGCGAAGCCGAGACGGGGGGGCCGCTAGTAAATTACATGTTTGTAGTACTTTTCTGAGATGTATCAAAAATATTTTTAATTACATTACTTTCTATCATGTGATCCTCATAATAGAATTTTGAGGGTTAAAAATTTGTACATGTATGAAAATTAATTTTATTGATTTTACCAATACATTTATTAGTCAGCTATTCATTTTATTACCAACAACTGAAAGTGCAAAAACAAGTCTTATCACTGCTGGAAAGATGGTTCTTGTAAATTTTTGAAACGACTGAATATTAAACTATGTAACACTTACTATGTACTGCTCAGCAAGTCAACATATCGAAATCTAATGTGGAAATTAAAGTAGTGTTAGTCTTAATACCATTTTTAATGTAAGACTTTGCTACTTTTATGATAGTTGTGATTTTATAAAATCAATACGGTAATTTACGAAACTTCAAGTAAAAGTCAAATTTAAAGAAATCTCAAAATCATTTTGTTTTATTTATTATCGAGCAGACTGATGTGCAACGGATAACGTTGATAGTATAGTCCAGTAGAAAATTACAAAAAATAATTTCACTTGTTCCAGGATGGGCTGTGGGGTCTTTGTTACGAACATTCTTCTGGTGAGGCTCCAGCAATCTTTAAAGTATTCGAGGAACTGACGGAAAAAGTTGATGCACTACCACAATTTGAAGACAACATGATTCCTTCTTATCTATCAGCTCCTGAAAAGCTCGAGTGGTCGTTGTCTGAACAAAGCCGAAACGATATCCGCGAGGCCATGACATCTTTGGACGCGTAATTATGTTATTCTTTATTTTTTATTTTATTGAACTTATACATGAGTATAAATGGTTATTATTATTTTCCCGAGCTCAAAGTAAAATTAGACTCTATGTAGCATAATACATAGAGCATACAGTCAGAAATAATCATTCCCGAGAGATATTTCTCTTTTATAAATACAACAGAAATATAAAATTTATTCTACGCA